ACATGGATCAGATCATGGAGTCTGTGCTTTGCGTGCAGTACACAGAGGAACCCAGGATAAGGAATATTATTCAGCAAGCTATTGACACCGGAGAGATCCCATCCTATAATGCCTTTGTCAGAGAATCGAAACAAAAGATAAATGCAAGGAAAAGGAGGGTAAGATTTGGAATGCTATTGATTATTCATATATTGACTGATTCCAGAGAGGATTTGAGGGTATTTATAACAATGGAAGTATACACAAAACCATTGAAGTGAGGATTAGGGTTAATTTGATCTATATCTCTCATCTAATAAAATGAGCATACCAGTTCATCAAGAGAAACCCTTTTTTCTAGTATGTTGTGCTCAAGATGATTTTACAGAATGGATTGTTTAAATAATACCATCTTAAAGTAACAGTAAAATAGTTTTCATATGGGCCAATTCTTGTAGCTTTGCAGAGGCATTCCTCAGGAGATAAAGTAATGTAGTCTGGGTACATAGGACAGACAGTGGTCTTCACTCGGTTGAGGGAAGTGGTGAAGACCGCAGAGATTGTCTTGTTAAAATGCAGATTCTTGAGCCTTTGCCCAGAGATTGAATCTTGGGTTGGATCTGGAACATATTTTGTAAACAAACATTTTAGCTCATTTTGATGAAGGTGTCTTTTTGACTACACTTTGAGGAAGGAATACTTTCTTGATTGTCAAGAATCAAGGATTATGGCCTGTATGTCCTTTACACCCATATTAAACTGGGGGAGTGAGGGAGTGACTATAGCCCAGAAGGCTGGCCGACTCATTGACAGGACTCAATACCATCCCAGGTAAAACAGATTCTTCTGCCCACACATTCTGCACTCCTGTTTTCAAGGCCAAATAAAATTGGGAGAGTGGGTTTCTATATTCACACTTCTGGAACCTTGTTTCCTAGCCCTAACATTTCCTATTGTAAAAATGGTTAAGTTCCTGGAAAGAAAAACAAAGTAGGAGTCCAGAAGGCTTGGATTTTAATCCCTGCCTCAATTAATGCTTTGCTACGTAGCTTGTTACTTCAGCTACATAATACAAATACAAGAATAAAGGATAATATCTGAAAAAATGAATAAACTGGGGGAGTAGGGAAGGGTGGGGTGATGGCAGAGGAAAGGTGCTTAAGACAGAGTTCGGGGAAGGAGTGTATTCAAGGTAGTAAACATTTGTGTCTCTGGTCTTTTGGGAAAGTTGTCTTGGACTTGTACCAAAGTAACCATTACCTCAACTTGGCTTTCATAATAAGAGCTCCAGGGAGAGAAGACAATTCAGGATTTTGGATGTCTGGTGTGTATTTGAGGTGCCTTAATTTTATGTGGCTGAACTGGGGGGTGGGGAGAGGTCTGCAGGTTTTAGGTAAATGAGGCACGCACAAAGTAAACTGGCCTTTTTGGTTTGGTGAAAATTTCAAGGACCTGTTTTGCCTAGAAGGCCATGCCATCTCTGTTGAGCTGAGGGGAGAAGTGGAATGCATACAAGATCATCATTTTGGTTCATAGGCTACATCTGCTAAGACTCAAGCTGACAGTTTATCCTAAGTTGTTAATCATTTTCTCAGGTGAAACTGAGCACAGCTGCATTCAACAATAGGCTATTAGCTTGAGAAACTTCCCTAGAGTTTGAGGGAGAAATGGCATAGTTTTGAGAGACTGACAAACTTGGAAGGGATGCTGAATTTAGAGAGATAATTTGAATACAAGGAAACTGTGTCTCTTTATTGGTATAAAGAAGTCCTAATGTATTATCATTCCCAGAATTATTTGCATTCATTGCCACTTAGAAAATTCGCAAGGGGTTCAGGTTTCTTAGAGTTGTTGCCCTAAGGTGTTCTTGTATTTTGGAAACAATTGCCCTAGGAAAATTCAGCAAATCAAAGTGGCTTTGAAATCAGGTAAAGAAAGGTTAAAACTGAATTTATTACTATTGTTTCTTCTGCCTACTCAGGAGAAATCATTTTAAGACAGGGTTGTTCACAAGACTGCCATCAGTCCCATGTAGTAAATTCAGTTTCCAGAGGAGGAATCTGAAGTGCCTGGAGGACATCCTTGGTTAAGTGACCTTTCCTAGCTCTCCTAGCATATTTTCCTTTTGCGTCACCATGTGGTTTATGAGTGCCAAAGTACTTGTTATCCCTAGCAAGTAGACATGGTGATAAAACAAAATTGCTTACTGGAAGCAGGGATGTACTGCTTGCTCACAGGAATGTTGCCCTTTAATGAGTGACATAATTTATGTAATTTTATTCATTTTGTCTATTCGTATAATCCTTAAATTGAAACTGTCTTATCATAAATTTGCTGCTGGAAAAGAGGATGTATTTTAAGCATTTCCTAGTTGCCATCGAGTCTCATGTGAGTGTCTGTTTCAGGCTCAGAAAGAGGCCAGAGAAGCAGAAATGAGCAGGAAGGAGTTGGGGCTTGACGAAGGAGTAGATAACTTGAAAGCAGTCATTCAGGTAAACTCGGCAGGTTGTCACTACTTCTCTCATGTTCTGATTCCTACTGCTAGTATTTTCTTTGGAGTGTATGTGTGGTAATATGGGTATTTTGTTTTCTTTTAAGATGTAACTTACATACCATCTATTTGTCCTTTTAAAGAGTACAATTCAGTGGTTTTTAATATATTCACAACCATCAACACTAATTCTAGAACATTTCACCACTCCAAAAAGAAACCTCATACCCATCAGTAGTCATTCTCTATTCTCGCCTTCTCCCAGCCCCTGGCAACCACTAAGTACTTCCTGTTTCTATGGTTTGAAAGCTTGTGTTTTGACTTCTCAAACAGAGCAGACAAAAGGATCGGCAAAAGGAAATGGACAATTTTCTGGCTCAGATGGAAGCAAAGTACTGCAAACCTTCCAAAGGAGGAGGGAAAAAAACAGCTCTCAAGAAAGAAAAGAAATAATGGAATTTTTCTCTTCAAAGGACCTTAAGTGTTAATTGGTGCCATTGTAGGCAAGGTGTGGGCAAAAGTCAACCCAACCCTTAGAGGAGTTGTCTTTCCAGCCTAAATTATTCAGATTGACTAAACCAAGAAGAATCTCTCAACTTGATTTTAGTATTTCCTAGAAATCACTTGACACTGTGTGAGTCTCCTGTGAAGGAATTTGATGGTGATAGTTGGAAGGGCAGTATAATTCGTGACAGCACTTGCTTCCTTGGATCTTCTGTACATGGGATTCTGTCTAGAACAGGGGTCTCTCCATACTGTTTTCTGTGATGTGCATATCTATCAGAATTGTTACTCTGCCTGGCTAGAACACTTTCAAAACACTTTGCTGAACAGCTGTCTTCCAAATAACTGCCAATTTACATTTGGTCTTAATGATCCTAAATAGAGCCTTTTTGTTTTATTCAGTAAGGTTCTGTGCTCTTTGTTTGAAGTATAGGAAAAATAGGTGTTCAAATTACTTCAAGCATTTTTCTAAGACTTGTATGTGATTAAGATAAAATGATTGTTAAGTCTGGGGGCTTTTTAAATGATCCCAGTGATCATTTAAAATGGGATCTAGAAAAAGAATATGTTCTTTAGGATAGAGAGGAGGGAAAAAAAATAGTCCTAGGCAGTGTTATAATAGACAGCCCAGTTTAAGTAGCATAAAGAGATAGGTGTTATAGTCTTGCCTCTAACTGCTGAATGTCCTTAGTCAGGTCACTGAGCTTGCCTGAATTTGTTTCCTCATTTATAAAAGAGTGAGATCCAAATTCATCAGATTGTATACCTTAAATATGTCCAGTTTTTTTGTAAAAGAAGAAAATTTGCACTCACTTTGAGTGAATACACACATACAAAGGGTGAGAGAATTAGGATAAATGGCTTCTTAGAGGCCCCCTTCTGACTCTTTAATTTTGAAAGGCAAACCATACTGATCCAATCATTTGTTATATTACACTTACTGTATTGGTTTGTGAGAACAATACAGAGATTTTCACTTATATTTAGATGAGGTGGTATATGTTCATTAGAATATATATACAGAATTTTTTTAGGAGACCGTTCAACTTAAAATCTCTGATTTGTGGGCTAATGTTTTAACATACTATATGCATAAAACAAGCCTTCTCTTGCTATTGAGCTTTATGTATCATAATTTATCTAAGGTAAGCACATGACACATTTTCAGTTTGTGATTACAAGCAGGTTAAAAAATACTCTTCAATTGTATTAAAAATATAATTTAATATGGGTTGTCTGAAGCATCTGTCTTTGTATGACAGCATTACAACACCTTGGTATGATAAAAAGTTATCCCAATTTATGAACATTTGAATTTATCCACTCTGAAAATTAACAATTAAATCTAAAACTGGTATGATAATCAAGATTAGTATTCAGTGAAATTTAAATAAAATAAATTTAAGCCATAGTTAAAACCATTGCTGCATTCATGAGTGCCCTCAGGAAAAGGCCTGTGATAAAATCAGAATGCTGAACCTCTAATTCTGCTGCTCTCAGCATATGTTTGTGCTGGACTGACTGCCAGGGCTTCATACATTTTTAAGGAATTGTACCTTGGTGACTCACTAATAGACCCTACAAATTATTTTTTAACTGACTTTCTTAGAGCTACAGGAGATAATCTGGCAAGGTGAGTTTAATATTTGGAAAAAAAAATATGACCAGCAAAGTAATTTATAGAGAAAATAAGCATAACCTGATATCAAACAGGCATTGTAAGGTTGAGTTGTCCTATCTGAAAAAAAAATATGCAATATGATTTATTACATAAGCTACTTTACACCAGTGTTTAACATTTATGTCTTTAATTATTCATCCCTTACATTTTAATCTGCTGATAGGATTGGACATCTAAAGAGAAAGCTATGGAATGACATCTGTTTGATGAGTAGGTTGGATTTTTGACAGCACCATCTCTTAAAAATGACTTAGAACTTAATTACAGCTCTCCAGAAATTAATACAAGCGGAAGTATTCTAAAGCCAATAATACTATTATCAAACAATCATTTGCTGCTTTTCATGTACGTGTAATCTCATAGAAACCTATAATAATTGAACTGGTCATTGTTAACAGACAACATGAGCAGTGATTTGGGTATTAATTCATTGTTACATCTTTGGGTACAAACTTTACTGTCCAGTAGAATGGGTTAATTTATGCTGCAAGAAGACAGTAACGATATAGAAACAGTGTCCATGTAATCTTTGGCGGATACTCTGTTGTGTTTTTCACAGTCAGTTGTACCAAAATAATTCTTCATGAAGATGGTTTCAAGTTGATCTTATATACAAGTTCTGCATCACTCCATGACTGAACACTGATTCATGAAATCTTCCCAAGTGTTCCCTGCAGCCTGATGCGTTCTTCTCATTGCCCTATGGTCCCTGCCTGGTTCTAGAGACTGGTCCACCTCTGCTTTGAGATTTTGTAGACCCATGTAACTGAGGACCTGTCAGAAACAGATGACATCATAGAGTAACATTAGTAGACAGTCTAGATTTGGTAACCCCAAGTTCATATCTCAGGGCTTTTTTACTCCAATTATCTGCCAAACTTTAAATTTGGAAACTGGGACTAAGTAGTACAGTATATATTTACCAAGGCAATAGGAAACATGTTTATATATTTTATTCTGTAGAAATAAAAAACTTATATTCTGTAGATACAAAAGCAGTACCTAGTGTTGGAGAAGAACTCACTAACTAAAAAGGACTAAAGGCCAGGTATGGCTCACGCTTGTAATCCTAGCACTTTGGGAGGCCGAGGTGGGAGGATTGGTTGAGGCTAGGAGTTCAAAACCAGCCTGGGTAACATAGCAAGACCTCGTTTCTACAAAAAATAGAAAAATTAGCTGGCCACGTGGAGTCCCAGCTACTTGGGACGCTGAGGCAGGAGGATCACTTGAACTCTGGAGTTTGAGGTTGCAATGAACTATGATTGCACCATTGCACTCTAGCCCAGGCAACAGAGTGAGGCCTTGTCTAAAAAAAAAAAAAAGGAATAAGATGTTTCACGCACCTAAATGTTACATTAGTTACACGTGACTGTCAGTGTGGCTGAAACTGTAGCTCAGAGGCAGCAGTGCTTCTCTCTGAGGACTGAGCCAAAAGCAGAATCTGGTGAAAGCATTTAAAGACTACCAGCCAGTGCTACTAGGAACGGAACTAAGAAATCACTAGGACTACAAAGATGGCTTGGGCAGATTAGTTTTTTCTGTATTTGCTGATTAATCCTACCATTAACAGGAAACACTTCAGCTACCCAGTACTTCCAAATTTGCCTACAAAATAATAAGAATGACTCTGGTGGTGGTGAGAAGACTGTCATAGGAAGAATTCAGACATCCCTAAATTTTCTTCCATCACTCCTTTGTTAATATAGCTACAGAGTATACTTTAGAGATAAAAAAAGTTAATGGGCTAGAATCAGACTCAGCATATCCTGACATTGAAGAGTTTTTCTTGGCCTAACAGGTTAACTGATCAAAGCAGTTTAATCCATAGGAGTATCAATTTTTGCCTACATTATAAAATCCATGCCATGTTCTTAAAGACTATTTCAAATATTATGAAAATTATTTATTTGGCTTAAATTTTTTAGATTAAAAAAATAGTAGTTTACCACAGTTGTGAGAGGTTAATTTATATGGTATGAAAACAGCAGAAATCTGCAACTTTTTGGCTCTGGGCAATGGAACTCTTCTATCTTTTTATTATACCTCATGTCCCAAAATGAATTTGAGGTGATTACAAAGATGTGTGAAAACAAATATAAGAATATCTGGAAGAAAGGAAAGTAAGCGTAGGAAAAAACAAAACAAAACAAAGGTAGGGTCTTAACATATCCACCCATGGTAAAATAAGGGCCATGGCCCCACGTGTACCTGCAGATCCCCTACCAGGTCGGGCCTGATGAGGATACTCGGTTGCATGTGAATGATGCTGCTGCGTATCCAGCTAAAAGAGAAGAGATGAGACACAGTTTGCAACTTCTCCCAAAGGATAATACTTTCTTTACAAAGTTCACAGAGGAAAACCTTTAAATTGACAGCAATGTAAAAGGTATAGTCTACCAACCTGAGGGGAAAGTTGACTGTGCTGTGTTGAATTCCAAGTAGAAAAATCCCAAGCCAGATGCTGACAAAGCCATTTGTTAACTCATAAAAACTACAAATTCTACAACTTTATTAATATGCCTTTGAGAAAATCTTACCATTTATAAATAATCCATATGGCTTAATATTTCAGTTAGATTCCAAGGGAGTGTTAACTTATCTGATTTCTATTCACTGCCTACTGACTATTTAAAACAGAACCAGCCTTTTCAGCAACATTGAAATACCAATGACTTTACTACCATAGTGAAATAGTGAAATTTAACTCTACATTTACTTTTCAGCGCCTTTTTTTTTTTTTTTGAGAGAGTCTCACTCTATTACCTGGGCTAGCCTGCAGTGGCATCATTATAGCTCACTGCAGTCTGAAACTCCTGGGCTCAAGTGATCCTCCTGCCTCAGTCTCCCAAGTAGCTGAGACTATAAGCACAAGTCACCATGCCTGGCTAATTTTTCTATTTTTTGTAGAGACGAGGTCTTACTATGTTGCCCAGGGTGGCCTTAAAACTCCATGCCTCAAGCAATCTTCCCACCTTGGGCTCCCACAGTGCTAGCATTATAGGCATGAGCCACTGTGCCCAGCCTACTTTTCAGCTTTATGAAACTCATACATTTCAGAATTACCTCAAGGAATTTAAAGATTTAAAGATATGACTAAAATGTTAAATCGCAAATATCCAAGGCTAGGCGCAGAGGCTGCAGTGAGCTATGATTGTGCCACTGCACTCCAGCCTGGACAATAGAGTGAGACCTCATCTCTCAAAAAAATGCAAATATCCAATGAAGAGCTACATATGCTATCCTGTCGGGGCTTCTGAATAAAAACATCCCTCAGTTCCCTGTCAGCACTCAAATTGAGAGATTTAAGAAATTTTTTTCTGGTGAAGCCCCCATATTCTAGAGATCAGGGGTCAGGAAACTTATTTTTTGTAAAGGGCCAGATAGTTATTAAATTTTGTGAACCATATGGTCGTTGTGACTACTCAGCTTTGCTGTTGTGGTATCAAAGTAGCCATAGACAGCACATAAATAAATAAGCTTGCTGGCTCTGCTCCAACAAAACTTTATTTACAAAAACAGGCAGCAGGCTAAGTAGCCCATGAATTGTAGTTTACTGACTTTATTTTAGATGAAAACACCAAGGAGCACAGTGCTAGTCTGGCAGCACCAGGCCCAGGACTCAGCCAGCACTCTTAGATTGAGCTACTGGGTATCTCCCTTTTTATGACAGCAAATGGGGAGAAAAATGGCTATGGTAAGTAATTTTTACTTTGTTATTGTTATAAACTTATGAAAAAGAGAAACTTTGAAAGGTTTTGTGCATTCACTAAGGCAATGAAAAATAAAAAGATAGGAGAGAGTGCAGCTATAGAATATAATCAAGCACTGCTTAACAAATATCCTGGATTAGATTATGAGAAGACAAATTCAGTAGAAGTTCTCAAACTTTCCGGGATTTACACGTTGAACTCCAAGAATCAGAAATGCTCACACATTTCCGTTTTGCCCTTATTTTTGGTGAGTTTCCCCCTAAATCAAGCTTTGTGAGGTCTGCTAGGTTGAATAGTCTCCCCTGCAAAATTCATGTCCAGTTGGAACCTGTGAATGTGACCATATTTGGAAATAGGGTCTTTGCAGATGTAATCAAGTTAAGGTGAAGTCATACTGGATTAGGGTGGGCCCTAAATTCAATGAGTAGTGTCTTTGTAAGAAGAGGGAAACATGAACACAGATACACAGGACAGAAGGCCATGCGATCAGAGGCAGGAATTGGAGTGATACAGCTGCAAGCCAAGAAACACCAAGGAATGCAGGCAACCACCAGAAGCTAGGAAGAGGCAATACTTCCCTAGAGCTGGCAAAGGGAGATGGCTCTGCTGACACTTGATTTTGGACTTTTAGCCTCTGGAACTATGAGAGAATAAATTTCTGTTGTTTTAAGCCACCCAGTTGTTGGTCATTTGTTATGGCAGCCCTAGACAACTAATGCAAAGCCCCGTTCATTTATTCTCACCACTCTTCTAGTAGAAGAAAGACTGTACAGTGCTTTAGGGTGATTTGGTTCAAGGTTCATGGGATAAGTGAGTTGCAAACACTAACACCCTGAAAATTGGTGCAGGCTCTCCAAGCCCTCTTTCCACAAAGCAGATTAGGTGGGATTGAGCTCCTGGCTTATAAATGGGGAAGGGTGAGTGCATGACATCCAGTCTCCCAACCAGGTTTTTTCTGTTACTCGCTTAAAAGTAAAAGGGCTAGTAAATGCAAAGGTAGTGTCCAAATTTAAAACACCAGTGGGAAAAGAAAAGTCCTAAACTGGGGGTGCTGGCACATACCTTTATTTCCAGCTCTTCAGGAGGCTGAGGCAGGAGGATTGCTTGAGCCCAGGAGTTCTAATCCAGCCTGGGCAACACAGCAAGACCCCATCTCTAAAAAAAATTAAAGTTCTAACTCATTCATCACCAGTCCTTATAATCTGATACCAATTTTTTTTTTTTTTTTTGAGACAGAGTCTCACTGTGTTGCCTGGGCTAGAGTGCCACAGCATCATCTTAGCTCACAGCAACCTCAAACTCCTGGGCTCAAGCGATCCCTCTGCCTTAGCCTCCCGAGTAGCTGGGACTACAGGCATGCATCACCATGCCCGGCTAATTTTTTCTATGTATTTTTAGTTGTCCAATTAATTTCTTTCTAATTTTAGTAGAGATGGGGTCTCACTCTTGCTCAGGCTGGTTTCGAACTCCTGAGCTCAAACAATCCGCCCGCCTTGGCCTCCCAGAGAGCTAGGATTACAGGCGTGAGCCACCGCACCCGGCCCCGATACCACTTTTGATGTAATTCCATAAGAGCAGGGTTAGACAAGTTATGCTGATCTGCTATGCACAGGAGTTTAACATTTTTGCTTGTGCTGAGAAATATTTAAACAGATTGTTTAGAATTTGTAATTTCTGTGTAAGGCATTTTCCTGACAAAAGAATGAGTGGCAGGGACATTCTACATCTTGTAGCATTTCAACAAAATGTACTGATAAACACTTTTTATTGTTAGTACCTCAACTTTTATATTTAGAGTTGATTAAGCCACCAGATAAAGTCTTAAGTCTGTTAAAGCAGTAATTTTTTTTCCCTTTTCATTCCCCAACTATCAAGACCATATTAGGAAGTATGTCACTCTACCAAAAATGACTGTGTTGTATTGGGCCTGGAGAAAAAGTCAGGTAAAAGGAGCCTCTCTTGGGGCTGCTGATAGTTGGGTTCATCCACTGCTGCACTTCGAGCTCGACTGGAATCACTGTGGGGTTTCTGCAAAGGAGATAAAAGTTATAGATTAAACTATTAGTAGTGGAAGCTGCATATGTCCTACATCAACCCTGGTAGGTGTGGTAACTGCAGGCCAAGCAGCTCCAATTCCACCATTATAAATTAGCACTCAGTTTGTGCTTTTGTGGACAAAAGCTAGTATAAATCAAGACCACAGTACAAATCCTACAGAATCACTGCCCATGAGGTATCACAGTAAGCACATGGAAGGGCAATATGAAAGAGACATACCGTTTGCTTTTGTGGCCCCACTGTGCTCAGATGTTCAACTTCAGCTGTGCCAATAGGTGGCAGCAGATTATTTCGACTCAGGGGCATCGGTGAAGGGGAGGAGAGCGAGTCAGCTACCGCTGGGCTGCAGATCCCACCAGCGAACACCAAGGTATGAAAGCATGAAGTTAATACCAGCAAATTGATTAGAAACCAAATAAATGAAGCAAATGAGTTTAGTAGTATTTTCTGATTTTTTAAAAGCTCTATTTGGACACACAAGAGAAGTTGACCCTTTCACAGAACTGGATGGTAAAACAATTTTCTCTGCCAATTTTGGATTTGTAAATTCACATCTGATGGAATTCTCCACAGTTCTGGGCCTTCTGGTTGTCCTTTCCCTAATAACTGTAATTCTCAGGTAGAATTCCTAAACTTTCATTCCCTTCAATGGGATTTGGAACAGCTTTCAGTGCTACTTATACCTAAGACAGTAATTGAAATGGAATGAGATTTTCATGTTTCAGAAATAGCAAAGGAACTTATTTTTCAACTTAGGAAAAAAGTACTATCAGAGAATGAGAGATTAATTATACCTCAAGACCACTCATCCCCAAATGAATGCATCTATGGCTCTGTTGGTATAGATATAGCTACAGCCACATAATAAAATAGCTGAGCAGGCAAGGAGAACATTGGTGGCCTGACAAAGATTTTTGGTGGTTTGGGACATCCTTTTTTGTGAGTCTGTTGGGATAAATTATAACAAGAAACTGAAAAATCAAGATCAAGAAACAGCATGTTGGGACAGAAGTATAATGACACATGCTTAACTCAGAAGCTGAATTCAGTACACAGTTGTGTACTATAATAATATCTTATATACCCTTGGTTATAGTCTTAGAAATCAATTATCCTGGGATATTTTGTGAATCAATAACTAAAAAATTCTATGTTAAAAATTGGCCTCTAGGTATTTTTTGCACAATGAAGCTCAGAGTGTTTAGTGAATGGAGGGTGGGAAAGGAAAGATTATTTTAGTGTTACCTAAGTGTTACCTAAATGTTTCCTAACAAGTTCTAAGGGATATTTTTCCTGGTATATAAGAAACTATTGGCTGGGCGCGGTGGCTCACATCTGTAATCCTAGCACTCTGGGAGGCCGAGGCGAGAGGATTGCTTGAGCTCAGGAGTTCGAGACCAGCCTGAGCAAGAGCAAGACCCGTCTCTACTATAAATAGAAAGAAATTAGCCGGGCACGGTGGCGCGTGCCTATAGTCCCAGCTACCCGGGAGGCTGAGGCAGGAGGATCGCTTGAGCCCAGGAGTTTGAGGTTGCTGTGAGCTAGGCTGATGCCATGGCACTCTAGCCCAGGCAACAGAGTGAG